CACACACACACACACACACACACACACACACACACACACACATGCACGCACACCCACGCACACCCACGCACACCCACCCACACACACACACACACACACACACACACACACACACACACACACACACACACACATTGCATCGTTGGTGTGGGTGAGGGTTTCTTGATGTGGTGAGTACTTACCCATTCACTCAAATCCATCCTAGGGAGATACCAAGGTTCGACCTATGGATGAATTAATTTAGTGGAAGTCCAAAAAGAGCAGTCTGTCACACTCAGCCTTTGTTGGGTGAACTTGCATTTAGCCAAATTAATGTGCAACACACACCTGCGAATGCAAATCCGGAGCATCTGAAGATCACACAACTGCAAATCTGTCTGTGGACGAGGAGGAACAGCAGCAGCCAGCCAGCAGCAGTGGCAGAAGATGAAGAAGAAGAGGAAGAACAGTTTGGAAAACAAGAAGCAGCAAGGACAAAGAAGATCAAGAAGAATATGTAAGGTGAACTGGATGATTCAGAGGACACGCTGCCAAAACTTAGGTAGTTCAACCTGGACAAGTCTTCATACCAGACCAGGCCTTTGCAAAGGCAGCAGGAAATGAGACTCACGAGACGGTGGGATAGATTGCGTAAGAATGATGATGAAATGCAACATCGAGACAGCACAATGATCTGTGAAATCAACAGACTGTGACATCTTAGTGATGTGACTCATGTGAGTGATTCTGCCGTTTCTTTCCATCAATGGACTTGAGGACATACCATAGCAGTCGACGACTCCATTGCACAGGTACCATTCAAAAGGATGGTAAATGTCGTCATCATCCGGCCACCATGTTTGTTTGGCAGTGCACATCCGTTTGCTGGGACATTTTCCTCGGCGAGGCCCGCAGTCGAACGCCACACAGTGATCTCCTTCATCCGAGCCATCATCGCCTGCAATGCAAATGACGCACATTTCAAAGACCTGTAAAGATGCAGTTCCGGAGATGATGCACTTCAGACAAAGCAATTTCAAACAACCGCCCCTTGGAGGGGGAGGCAAGTGGGACATGGAAGAGTAAAAGAACTCATGGACTACGAAAATGTGCGGTGAGTGAAGAGGTAGAGCTTAGCAAACTGCTAGTTCTTCAAGATGGAACTAGTACGGGTTGTGCCCTTCATGAGGGCATTGGAAATGATACTAAATAATTAGACGGGAGTATAGTAGAGTAAGCGCGGATAAGTAATGCAATGCAAGGTTACAAGTAAAATTTTTCCACTTAAAATAGAGTGTACCGAGAAGAAAAGATCTAAATAGCTGAAGTCAATAGCTGTCGCTATGGACTCAATTGGCACTGTCTCACTGCATATTCTGTCCATTTTGTCTGTTTGTCTGTCTGTCCCTGTGTCTGTCTGTTTGTCTATCTGTTTGTTTGTCTGTCTACATGTGTGGGTGTGTGAGTCCAGGCACGTTTGATGTGTGTATATGATGTGGGAGGGGTGTTCGTTCATTGCGTGCATTGCCAATTGGTCTGTGCCTGTGTATGGTGAGCCGTCACCACAATGACAACGACCCTTTCTCCTCCCAGATAAGCAGATCCCAAATTGAAAGAGCTTTACCTCTATAGCAAATAACATGAAGACAACATGACGCCAACGTTACGACAGCATGAACACAGCATGAAGCACACTAAGGTGAGCAGATCTAAATTGAAACAGCTTTACCTCTACTGGAAACAACAAGAACACAGTAAAACCGTTATACGTGTGTGCATCCGTGCACGTTTGATCTGAGCTTGTGCAAGCGTTTGATGTGTGGATTATTGGGAGCATGTGTAAAAATAATAATAATAATAATAATAATAATAATAATAATAATAATAATAATAATAATAAATTTTCAGGGGCAGGCAAGCTGACAGTAAATCCTCCAGATCTGTGGAGCAATCAATGGTGATCAGCGTCCCTTTGGCCAGACGGAAGGGAGCGTGTGGGTATATTGATGTAATCCTGTTCATATGACTTGCCGGGGGAATAGGAACCGAACTGATGCTCCCCAGAGTGGACATGGAGCCAGGGCCATAAGGACCTGTTTAAAAAAAAGTCATAATAATAAATAAATAAAAAATGGGAGCATGTGAATCAGATTAAGATAGCTGTCTCAGGTGGAACATAACCGCCCAAGGCGGACGGGGTAAGGGTCGGACTGGACCAGACGTAACAAGGGGGAAGGCGTTAAATATATGCTGAGGAACTCTAGGGTAAAAGGGAATACACGTAGAGGAACATTGTGAGGGGTAGGGAGCAGGGAAAGGGCTAGACCTTTTCTTGGTTTACGAACCCTATTTGGCAGATCTGCTGCAGCGGGCCTTCATCTGCCCTGGCCTACAGCCAGGGCCTATTTGGCTATTTGCCAGTTCGGCCTGTGGGACCAGGCCGTGGCCTGACCCCACAGGCCGTATATTGTTTCAGTCCAGTCCAGTCCCGCCCGGTACCACGGTCGGTACCAGGCCAGTCCAGTCCAGTCCAGTCAGTCCGCTGGGGGTATACCCCA